ATCAAAGGCAACATGTAGGAATACTTTAGAAATTTGTATCGGAGGGACTAGATCATTTTTGTAGGTAACTTCGAAGGGTTATCAAGGGACTATGATCTTTATTCGTAAGGGTCTTTTGCTAAAGTATCCCTACTTTCGAGGGACATGACCATTAATCGTAAGGCAATAAGAGAGGGTACCCTCGGGGTGCAAGTGTGAAGAGTGTGTTAATTTCAAGTATTTATCTTGAGTTTAGGGTTTTCTATGTTCAGTTATTTATCTTGCCATACAATCCTAATTACCAGCAGTTATAAAACATACAGAAAATAAAGGTGCAGAAAATAAAATTCCTACGCTATTACAAGGCTTTGGGGCAGTTACATAAGTATGAAAATGCAGGAAAAGTAAAGTGCGAAATTTAAACATAAGCTATTACATCCCGTGAACAGATACATAATAGGAAAAAATGCGGAAAGTAAATCTAAGTTATTACAATAGAATAAGGCGACTTATACATTTTTTATCTAAGAATTAAAATAGAAAAAAGAAATAAGAAAAAGGTTAGAAAAAGTGTTTGAATATTTTTTATGTTTTTTTTTAGAAAATAATTTGATGTTAATTAAATAGTTAAAACCTTAAGTCTAATTAATTTTAATTGATAAAATTACTAATTAATTTAATTAATTAATAAAATAAAAATTTTCAAGAGTTAATTATTAGATACCTAAACCTAATTTGTTATGTTTTTGAAAAAGAAATTAAAGTTTGTTAGAAGTTAATAAAAAAATAATTAAGAAAAAAGAATGAAATTAGGGTTAGTAAATAAGGTTAGGAAAATAATGAGAGAGAAAATATCTGGGGTGGGTGTTGAATCCACGCCCCTAGGTATCAGCGCGCCTGTTTTACCACTGAGTCATTGCTGCTTTGGTGTTTAGGAATGGGAATCAATCAAGATATGATAACATGCACGTTAGTTTGTAAAATAAGCAAAAAATAATGTAAAAGGCCATGATCGAACTCATGCCCTTCATGATACATGCGCGTTTTCTTGCAAATTGAGCTAACGCTTCCATTTGTTAGTATAACAAGAACAAACAATTATATAATAAAACCAGTGAATCGGAGAGGCGTCGGAGCCCTAGCTCCGGCCGTCTTCTTCGGCGAGTTGATTTTGTGACCTGCAAAAAATAGTGCACATTAGGAATAAAGAAGGACCTTATCCCCCTAATTTGATCCTTGAAAATCCAATGGCGGTGTTATTTTTGGCTAATTCGACCTGTACAAGGAGATACGGTGAAAATAATGCAAATCGGTTCCATAATGGTGATGGACCATTTTGGCATTATGGGACTCATGCAAGGGGTCAAACCTGTATTAACTTATCTCAAGAACACGTTAGAACCGTTAGTTTCAATCAAAACATCATGAACATTAAAATATGAAATTCACAAAATATGCAAAAACCGTGATGATTGAATGCACGTTTCAGGCGCTTTTGATCATCAAGGATGATCCAATCTTATCCTATAACACCTCAGGAACTGATTGGGATCGTTGAATGGCTTTGAGGATGGCTGAATGATGGATTTCGAATTCACCCTCTTCTTGCAAATTTTTGGATACAAACTCTTGTTTCTTGCATAATTTTTTCGTGTCTTTGATGGATATATGTAGATGAGAGATTAGGTTAAAGGCATGGGCTTGGACCTTGCACAACACATGTCTTTGATTTATTTTGGAAATAGATTGAAAAGTGACAAAACTATTGAGATTTGGTTGAAAAATAGGTCTACACGGTTTCTATCTTGGTCTTGGACCTCCAAAATAATCAATTCTCAAGCCTTTTATGCCTTACATATTTATATAATATTTATTTGGTTTAATTTTGAATTTAAATGAATAAAAATTAAAATAAATGAAATAAATATTAAAATAATGCATGCATGGATTTAGAGGTCTTCCAAGGTGTCATGAACATGTTTAGACCTTAAAAGATAGGTCCAATAGCCCAAAAGTCAAGTTTGCTTCAAATTGAATTTCATGTATTTTCTCAAAATTGCCCAACTTGTACAAATTATATCTCACTCAATTTTCATCATATGAGGGTGATCTAGGACTTTTTAGAAACCTCAAGATGTCTCCTACAACTTTCATGTTGGGTAATTTTTCGATTTAAAGATTTTAACTTGGTGTAAATTGCTTTGACAAAAAGTGTCTTTTTGTTGACTTTTAAAATGACCTGTAATATTTTGACTCATATCTCTCAAATGAAATATTTTTTTCCTTGAGCTTAGAGATCCAAAGTTGTAGAGAATTGAATTTAATTCAAAATGAGCTTTGGTTGAGAATTTTCTGATGAAGTATGTAAAAGTTATGCTTGGTTAAAGTTTAGTTGACTTCTCCTTAAGAAAACCCCTAATTTAGTAACTTTTGACCTTTGATGAATTTTGAGTTTTCTTGATGAATCATGATCAAATATTGATCAAATGATGAATGTGATCTCAAAATCTTGATGTTGACTAAAAATCTTGAATTTTGACTGTAAATTGATCAAAGTTGACTTTTTGTCCAATATAGTTGATTTTCAATCATCTGACTAGTTGACTGAAAAAACTTGTACTGCAAAACTTGAAATTTGGTATGAAGATTCTTTAAGATATATGATAAACCATGAAATTCACTTGAGACATTAGAAGTCAAATTTTCTTTGAGAAAGACAAAACCCTAATTATAAGCCACTGCTTAGGAGGAGGATTGATCTGATCAATTCTTGAATAGTCTTGAGTACTTGAGAATCTTTGGGGCATGAGGAGATATCTTGAGTTATATTGTCTTGAAAAATAGGAAGGTAAATTTTGAAATACAATACTATTTTTTGAAAAAAAAATTTATAAAAACTAAAATTAAATATGAAATATTTAAGAGGATAAAAAAAATATATTGAATTCATATGAAAATATGAAAATATAGATATAAAAAATTAAAGTTCACTGAGGCACAATAAAATATGAATAGCAATTTAAGATTTTTAGTTTAACGTCACAAATACCATCAATGCTTTAACTCCCAAACATGGTTGTATTGTAATTACATAAGCACTTTAAAGTGCACTATGTACATCTAAATGCAGCTAAAGCGGGTGCATTTCTAGCTATTGGTTGAATATGTGTAGAATGGTTTAAGATGGAGGTTGTATAGACCTTTTTCTTTAAAAAAATTGTTTTAAAGTCAGAGTTTGACATCGAACATTTGAAGAGTTTATGGAAGAGGTTACGTTTATTCGATTAATGTTCACATGAATTTAAAAAATGCAAAAAAGGAGATGACTTCGACTAATCAATAGTGTGAGAGTTAATAAACAAATTGAAACAAAGTTTTTGAATGAACTTGAATAATTAAGATAACGATATAAGGTTATAATTTCTAGCATAATCAACGACATGAATTATTCAGAAGACCGAGATCTAATAAAGATTTATACTTAAATATTAAATCTCGATTAACTAGAATTAAACATAACAATCACACTACTAAAAAAACAATAAACTTAAAACATGAAAATTTATAGATAGAGTAAGAGAGATTGTACACTAAAATTTATTCTGATTTTGTGCGTCATCTTCATTTACACTTAATCAAGTTTCCAATGGTAAGTCATCGAAAATTATTATTGTCTTCCACTATAAATATTTATACATTGCCCTTTTGTACAAAACATCATCACAATTCAAAGTTGAATACATAGAACTAACTGCTAAGCTAAATACTTCTATCCAAAATCCCTCCTATATTCGAGTCTTGATCTATTAACATGTGATAGAAACTCCATAACCTCTGGGTGAAACCTTCTTCTTTTTATTGAAACTCAATCTCCAGTTATCACAACCTGGTTATATTGTCTAAAAAATCTTCACAAGAACATTAGGAGACCTAATGAATCCTTAACACTAAGTACTCACAGTCTGTCCTAGATTTCAACAACATTCATCAATGATATTTTAGTTTAAGGTTGAAGATGACGTTTTTCATAAAATCTCAAATAAACAGTTTTTTTTTCATGAAGAGACCAACACTAAAACAAGTTTTTCGTCAAGGTTTCTTTTAAAGGTTAATGTGAGATTTTTTTCATTCTTTTAAAAATTAGGAAGAGAGAGAGTTTAAAGATAAGATGGAAAAATAGTGTGAAAATGACACTTTGAATCAAGTCAATGACAAAAGGTGTGACACCATAATCCAAAAATAATATTTGTTATTTAAAGTTAAATAAACTAATTAAAAACATATTTTGAGACGTAGGACGCCACACCATCAATCAACCTATCACAAATAATCCTCAATAAAAAATTTTCAATTGAAATTAATCTTCTTCAAAATATCGAACATACTAAATATTTTAATATGAAACAAGATAGTTTGAAAGTTTAAAATTATTTATCCCTACCCGATATCACCTATCAGAGCGGGAGAATCCCAATAATAATGTCAACATAAAATAAAATAAAAGTAATAAAATATATAATTCCTCATCAAAGCTTCAAGCATCATCTTCAATGTAGGATCTTCGGCGTCCAGTGCAATGTCAAACAAAACAACAAGGGGTGAGTTTTGAAAACATGTAATACAACAAAATAAATAAGAACATGTAAAATATTAAACAAAATACCGTATATAATCAAATTGTAATAAATAAGAATCGCCTAATCAACAATAACAATGTTTCACCATGTCAAAATACAACTACCACAATGTAATGCATGTATCTAGACTCAAAACTTCTCCTTATAGTACTTTGGTATCATTCTCTTAAAGAAGTTTTTCTTTCATTAATATTCTCTCTGATCACTATGGTTATAAGCAAAGATTCTCTTTTTAAATAATTTATATACCTAATCTCTATGTAGACCAAATACATCAACTATTTAATTAATTCAAAAAGAGAATCTTTGTTTATAATACTGACCGGAAAGAGTATTGTATTGTGGATTCACAATCTCCAAAAGCCAATTAAGGAACTAAAGTTATTAACTAAAATGCCACTTTCTTCTTCTGCAACTAAAATCATTGATAGATGTTGCCATGCACTTTACGCTACGTCTCACGAATTTATTCTGACAATATCTTTTCTCTATGCTCAGAGATTCTACATGATTGGAAGAGATAAAAAGCAGAACATTTTGGAGGGTCTTAAATATTAAGAGGTTGGAGCCATCTGAGTTAAATATCGTCGAGAATCCTACATTATACACAGAAGCTGAGTATTGTGACATTTTAAAGTGTATTCACCACGGAAATAAGTACACTGACGGGTTTAAATTTGTAACAACTTGCTATAAAATCATCGGTATTTTCTATCTTCTATATAATAGAAAAACATTTATTGCTATACTAGTGTTTATTTTCCGACATTATTCGTCTTAATAACTCAATTGTATCTTTTTATTTAGGATTTATCAAATTTCTTGAGCCATACTACATGCTCCTTATAACAAAACGGATAAGTTTTAGTCAATTTTACCTAAGAAATATTGTGTTGTATAATATTATGACTTGTGATTGAATATTTTATTGTTACATAAGACATATTATGAATTTCTAAGACAAGATATATGATTTTGATGTATTACTTAAATATGATGATATAGAATATGTCTTGTTTGTAAATTTGGTTTATTGAATGAATTTTAAAATACGATAGTAAACCAAATTTACAAACAAGACATATTCCACCATCATCATATTTAAGTATTACATCAAAATAATATTATCTTATTTTAGGAAGTCATAATATTTCTTATCATAATATTATGTAATAGCAACATATTATTTCTTATACAAAATTGACTAAAGACCATTCGTTTTGTTATAAGCAGCATGTAGTATGGCTTAAGAAATTTGATAAATCCTAAATAAAAAGATATAGTTGAGTTACTAAGACGAATAATATCGAAAAATAAACACTATAGCAATAAATATTTTACTATTATATAGAAGATAGAAAATACCGATGATTCCATAACAAGTTGTTACAAATTTAAGTCCGCTAGTGGACTTGTTTCCGTCGTGAATACACTTCAAAATGTCACAACACTCGAATTCTGTGTATAATATAGGAACCTCGACGATATTTAACTCGGATGACTCCAATCTATCAATCTTTAAGACCCTCCAAAATGTTCTGCTTTTTGTCTCTTCTAATCATTTAGAATCTCTGAACATAGAGAAAAGATAGTCAGAAAAGGCCCGTGGGATATACCGCAAAGTGCATGACAACGTCATGTCATAAACTAAACTTAAATATATTTCCGTATCAATAGCTTATCATTCTATTATCTATGAAAGAAAGGATGTTTCCATTTTGATTTCATTTCCAGAAGAAGAAAACAGCGTTTTAGTTGATAAATTTAGTTCCTTAATTGGCTTTTGCTTCATTTTCAGCAAGAGATTCTAGTTATCTTTGCATGGCTATCCTTCATTTTCAGCAAGAGATTCTAGATATCTTTGCATGGCTATCCTCAATCTTCCCAAATTGAGGAAAATTAAACAAGAAAAGAATAATAACTATCCTATTAGGAAGAAGATGGTGGAAAATAAGTGCTTGTGTAAGAGTTTGAAAGAGCTTAGGAAAATAGTTTTTGATGTGTGTACATCAGACGATTTTTTTAGTTAATTTTCATAAGCTCCTCCAAATAGCTTATTTGCATAAGCTGTTTTCAACTATGGAAAGAGTTAAGTTAACCCTAACTCCCTCTTCCATTCGAGAAACAGCTTATACATAAGCTCTTATACAATAAGCACTTAATTAAACTGTATATCTAAATGCTCCCATAATCTGAAAACAACGGGTATAGCACTCCATAAGCCATTAGCTGCAAAATCATTTGTCAGTAATAGTTATTCATAATCACAAGCATCATGAAGAACACAAACGGAAAAAAAATGCATTTTCTTAAAGAATCCACGCGAATCCAATTAAACCAAATTCAAAAACTCGTCAATCCCATCATCATCATGACATTGACATGCATACGACCTTATTTTGCCTTGCGGTGAATGAAAAATTCACATTATGACCTTCAATTGCAACACTATCCATACTTTTACCCCTGTAAAATCCAAATACACAACCTGTTTGAGAAAATGTCCAAACTAAAAATGGACTAAACGAAATCCATAAATTAGATAAACCTATAAGCTGATAAATAAAAAACAACTAAATTAACATAAATTAACCACACGATCACAAAAACTTTGCATTCAATCTTATGTTCAAACAATGGGAAAAGACTAACCTGATCGTGTCAAACTTGCAAACCAATAACGCGACGAACGACGTGACGTGTTCGTCATTGAGCCGTCGAGCCATGCATCAAAAAATAAATCACATTATCACAAGAATAGGGAGTACATCAAATTATGGTTTTAAATTGCATACCGCATCACGTGATGTGGCTGCAATACTGCGCTTACGATAGTGTCCGCGTCCACATCAGCCAGCAATTGCAGTTTGTTCGTACATCACATTAAAAACTGCATCATAACGCTGCAACGGCCGCATCATAACGCTGCAACGGCCGCATCATAACGCTGAAACAGCCGCATCATAACGCTGAAACAGCTGCATCGGACCATAATCTGCATCGCAATAGCCGCAACCATAGTGACTGTAACTGCAACCACATCAGCAGCACAAGCAAATATAACATTAGGGCAAAAAACAAAGGTCAAGTAAATGACATTTGAATAATTAAAGAAAATGACATTTGAATAATTAACTAACATGAGTTGTAGTTTCACATCAAATTAACTCAAGTCAATCGTTTGGGTCTTCTTTTTTATTGGCCTGTGTAGCTAACACTAATTACAATTAGAATGTTAAAATCAACAAAAGGACCAATATATTGATCTAATTCTGTTAATGTACTTATCCCTTATGAGATGCTCTGTTTCATTTTTGTCATAAAAATACTATGTGCTCTGTTACTTTTTGCTTAAGAAAATAATTAATTTTTCAATTGAACATATGATCAGAACCAATTCAACAAGTCTAAAAATTAAAATTAAGACTTTTTAAAATTAGCAACAATTGTTGCTCATAGAACATAACCGCACAAACAATTCTTAAACTCCAGAGCAATCTTGGCATATCGAAATAGCACACCAACAATCACTTATCCAATATCAAGAAAAAGAAACAGCAACTGCTGAGCCACAAAAACCTACAGACTTTACTGAGTTCATGGCATATCAACACAATTTCAACAAACCAACACATGCAATCTTGGCATAACATTAAACAACTATAGAGACATAAAAACTACTTCAAACTACTTCTGTTTCAGCAGCAACAAATGGTTGCAAGACAAAACCACAAAGTTTCAAGGAGGAAGGTTGATATACAAATACAAATTCAACATATAAGAATCAAGTAATCAATTCATATGTAGAATCTTAACTCATGGAATGAAGAAAATGCATGACTTACTAGCATATATATTTATGTTATAAATAAATAGTTAAGATTTTGTTATGTCAGAACCTAGTTTTATGTTTTGGATTTCTTGAGTTAATGACAGCATACCTATCATTTTTCTTGCAAAATCCAAATTTCAGAAACCAATTATCTTCCTCAAAACAAGCACATTAGCAGTAAATACAAGAATGAAACTAAAACGATAACCCCAAATAACCAATAACTAATAACTAGACCATAAAAATTACCTCAAATGAAAACCCCAAAACGCTGCTCCGATTCGAGATGAGTGTAAACACCTTGAGACTCAAACTCAAACACTCGAAAAAGAGAATCGATTGGCGAACGTTTTGCAATTTAGGAAAGAATTGTTTGTGATTTGAAGCGATTACGATTGACGGTAAATTACAGCAACAAAACGATTTGCAGGTGAATCGATTGAGAAGAGTTTGCTAGGGTTTTCGAGTAAGCAGAAAGGGGCTTGAGATTGGTAATCGATTGTTCAAATTTTCGTGAGTTTCGAATTTGTTGTTTGAGATTTAGGGTTCGCGTCCCTCTTTCCTTGTGTGCGTACGAAAATCAAAGATGAATGAATGTTGAGTTTCTCTTTCTCAGATTTAGCTTGATTTAATTTAATTTCTCAATAAAAAATATTTATAGGATTGTAGCTCAAAATCTTAATTTTAAGTTAATTAATTAAAAACAAATAAATTAATTTTCGTATTTTTTAATAATAATTTTTATTCTTTGTAGATTGTGAACTTTTACATTATAAAACTTAATTATTATGATATTATTTTTTAGAAAGATAGGAGTACAATTTATTATCAGTATTATAAATAACAATTTTCTGATTTCAATAACTAACTTTCTAAAAAATATAACCCAAAACAATTTTTTTTAAATAAATGTTAAACTAGAAAATAACGTGTCATTCCTTTTTTTTCCTATTCCTTTGCTCCCAAGCTTCACGACTGAGCTCTCTCTTCTTCCACCACCGTCGCACCGTCAAACAGAACAACATACCTATTTTGTTAGGGTTTTTTGAAATTCTTTTTTTTTTTTAATTTGACATTAATTGTATTAAATTTGTTAATTGATTATGATATTTAGAACTATGAGGACTATATTTGTGTTGTGAATAATCACTTTATTGTTTTTGATAGATCCAAAACTTTGAATTTTCAGATTGTTTGTTGGTGTTATTGTTGATAATATTTCTTTATCATTTCCAGATCACATCAAATTTGTTATATTATATAAAATACAGATACCGGAAACACGACACTGAATACTTACACGTCGATGTCAATAATTAATGTATACTATGATCATATAAGAATGGTGTGAATGTGAAGTGCCTCTGGATATTGTGTTTTTTCAAATGCTTTATGGTCTGGTTTACATGTTTTCTGTGATGATAATGTGGTTTTTGCGTGATCTTTTAGCAGGGAAGGTTGAGTGATTTGTAAAAATGAGTTGGGACATGGAGCTAGATAGTCTATTGGAGGATATATATGACTGTCCGTTGCCGGGACAAAATATTCTGGAGCCTTGGGAAAACTGGGTAGTTGATGATTGCAGAGAAGCTTTGAAAGTGCCAGATTCATGTGAGGATGTCATTGAGTGTTCTAGTTCTAGCTCCTTTGGTGATACAGCTGTTGCTGCTGCTTCCGTCGCTGAACCAGAAGTTGAATCGCGAATGTTTGGTGACGGGCATGAACCACTCCATCGAAGGTATATTTCAGTTTGAGTTGTTTTATGGATCTATTATTCCTTTCATGTCTATGAGAAACATGTGTACATGATAAAATAAAATAAAAGGAGTAGTTAAGAAAAAACTACAATTTACAATGTGTTAGATTTCAATTTCAATAGTGTACATGTTTTAAGATTTTCTCTATTACTTAACCATTCAGAAAGAAAAGGAACACAACAACTCATTGGAAGAAGTTCATAAGTCTTGTTATGTCGCGCTGTAAGTGGGTTGAGTTGCAACTGAAACAACTTAAGTCTCAAGAACGTAAATATGCTAAAGAGCTTGCGGCACTCGATTATACACAAGATATTAATAAAGACATGAAGAGGAAAAAACGAAGAAGAGTTGAGGAGAATTGCGATTTAGCATCATACATGTCTAACCATACTCTATTCTCCTACTATGGTATGCTATTTCTTTATTTATTTTTGTAATAGGTTTTTGTTTATAATTTAATTCTCTCTCGTTTCTGTCACTTTTCCAGAGAAAGCCGATAGTAATCTTGATACTGGTTTGGAAGATTGTCATGAAGCTGTCACAGGTTAGTTACAGATATGTGTGATACTGTTTTTGTTATTTCTATCTAGACCCATTATTGCTAATGAAATGAGTGCAAATAATTGGATACACAATTTTGTCTGGGTTTTCATGTTGTAAATATAGAACGTCTTTCATAAGCACGTTTAATCATTTCTTTACGTGAGAGTTTGTGATTTCTTATTCTACATCCCGTTTTAATGATATCAGGTGGTGACGGTAAAAGTTCTGTAGAGTTCAAGTCGAATGATTTATGGTCTTCTGTAGGTAATCATGGTATGGATAAATCTTGGGATGATGCCATTCAAAAGATTATAGCTCTAGAGTCTCATCTTCAAAATTTGAAATCTAGACATGACAAGGTGATTAGTGAAAATCAAGGAAGGTTTTGTTCTGTAAACCAATCAAGCATGCTTGAACCATCTGATGGATATAATCAGTCTGATTTTACAGGTAACAAGAATACATTTTCGAGTTAGTTTAACTCGTATCTAATCTTAGTTTCTATCTGAGTTTCTAATCGGAGATTTACTAGGAAATACATCATCGGGTGATGACAAGATTGTTCCTCTTTCCGAAGCCACTAATCGGCCTCAAATGGACAATACACTGGACGATGTAAGCTTACTATGCAACCACCTTCTTGTTATTTTTCTGTAGTCTACTTGCTCTGTACAGACTCTATTATTGGTTTGAATTGTTGAATACTCGTGATCCAAGGTCGTTTTTCTATTATGAATATTTCTTGTAACACTCATAGTGAATTTGCAATGTCTGCGTGTTCTTATATGCAGATCAATGTTGAAGGTCTTACACAGTATCAGGCAGTTAAGGAAGGATTGCATGAATTAGAAAATGTTGGAAATCAACTTGCAAATCAAATCGAATCATTTGGAGAGATTAAAGAGATTTTCAAGTTTCAAGGTTCAGAATCCAACTCTTATGAAAATGTCGTGCACAATGTCAATGTGCATTCCAATTTGAGATTGTGTTCTACATTAAAATTAAAGATCCCTAGACATGAAAGGAAAAGAAAGAAGATATCTGGTTCAAAGAGGTCAAGGAGATCTGGTTAAACCGAATCTCATTCGAAAATGGAAGTTGTTTCAGTGGGAAGCAAATTGATCTATCAATTTTTGCATCTCTTTAAAATATTGATTTGGCACACAAGTGTTGGTTATTATTTTTTATTTTTTTGTCAAGTTGTCTAATGGTCACAATTTTCCTCGTTAAAGTGAATAAATAGAATATCGCAGGTTCAAACTCGCGCCTCTGCAATCAGATTTCTCGGCCGCTATCAACTAAACTTGATTAACATGATGTGTTAGTTATTAATGGTCAAGTAGCCTAGTGGTCAGAATTTTCCTTCTTAAAGTGAATAAGTAGAATGCCGCAAGTTCAAACTCGCATCTCTACAATCAGATGTCTCTGCGGCTATCAACTGAGCTTGATTAATATGAAGTTTTAGTTATTAAATAATAAGAGTTACACTCTAGTGTAATAGCTATGTTGAATTACTATTTAAATTGATTTGTTCGATTTATCGTATCTCATTTAATGAGATAAGATTGATTATTGTTTTTGTTATTGACTTGTTCGTTTTAATAATCAATTTATTTATCAATTTATTTTGGTATTAGAAATAATTTGGATTGTCATTTTTCAGTATAAAGCTTGAGTATAGTATTAAATTGGTTATATAGCTTATATCAATTTTTTTTTTGAAAAGTGAATACTATATTTTTTTTGTCAATTAGTAGAAGAATTACAAGCAATAGGAGGTTAGACATTTTTTTGGTAACCTTTACAGCAATGAGAGCCAAAATATTGAACTCAAATTTTTTGGTATTCAATTCTACGTTCATGATTTGAAAATCATCTTGTGTAGATAAGACATAACATGGATGACAAAAGATTTTGGTTTTTTTAGTTCTTGAATTTTCCAATTAATTTATTGAACAATATTGTCTTCATTTTTAATTTCCAGACTAAAACAATGCCTTGTTTTCTTTCTTAATGATATAAAAAAATGTTGGCAAAATTGACTGATTAAGGAAGAAAAAGCATCTTCTAAAGCAAATTAACTTTACATTTAATCAAAACAATCCTTTATTTTCTATGACAATATTGTAAATGATTTGAAGAACTTGAACCCTTTTATTACAGACAACTAACAGAAACTAGTCAGAGAATCAATTTGCATAATTAAAAATGTAAACTAATAGTATTTTTTGAATGATATGAGTAATTTACATAATAAAAAATATAAATTATTAGTTGAATGAAAAAGATATAAATATAATATAATTAAACTTGAAATAAATAAATATTAATTATAGAAACTTAACTTTATTAAATAATCATATATAAAAAAAGACATAAATATTAAATATTAAATAATTATAGAATTTTTTTTTTAACAAATATAAATGTAAAATTTAAAATGATTTACTTATTTATAAAATAAACAATAATCATATAGATTTAATTATATTAAGTAATCATGTAAAAAGAAGAAGAAAAAGAACGGTGAGATGAAGATAAAAATAATATTTAAAAATAAAGATATGATTGAAAAAAGATATTGTGTTGATAGTGACCCGTAAAAAAAAATAATAACATGATATAGATTTTATTATTTGATATGATATAAAATATATTTAGATGCACGTGTAAATTTGAAATGAATCGAACAATAATTATGTAAATTCAATTGTATTAAATAATATACATAAAGAGGAAAAAATATAAATGAAAGTAAAATAATTTGACAATATCACATACAAATGTAAATGCCAAATTTTAAATATAAATGCAAAATTAAAATAATTTATTTAATTGTAAAATGAATAATAATTATATAATGATTTGTGATTAATTTCACAATTAAGGATGATTATCATTCATTACAATTAAGTAAATAATTTCAAATTAAGATAATAATTGATTAAATTAAAATAGATATTGCGTTGATAGTGATATGTGAGATAAATAAAATTTTAAATAATAAAAATGATAAATTAAATTATGTAAAGATCAATCATAATATAAACCGAATAATATGATGAAAATTAAAATAAAATTTTAAAAAAATTATTTATAAAGAGAATTCATTGAAGGTTTTTTTTTATTCTTTATAATTTTTTTAATCAAAATATACATCACTATAAAAATAATTTAAAAAAACACTGATAAATAGCCCTAGATTGTGATGTAGTGTTGATAACATGTCTCTAAACCAAAAAATGTGTTAAAAAATTGTTTGGAGACACATAAATACTTTCTTGCTTATTAGCTGCAACGTTGCATTGCTAAATAGAAACAGCAACATCCGCAGAGCAGTGTACAATTTAGCTGATAGTTTCTGAAATAGGTATTTCATATGTATAATTCAAATAATTAGAAATTTCATAAGTATAATTCAAAAAACGTGTAGAAAGAGAGAGAAGTGAGAATTGGACCAATAAGAGGTTGGCAATTGGTGCATGATATCAGAAAATTTGAAAAAGTTAAGGGTTATTTTATTATTTAATAAAATTTCTAAAGTGTAGTGTAAATTATTATTTTTTTGAGGGAAGGGTCGTTAGGTAGTTTAGGAAATATCATAGTAAATGTTTGATATTAGATATTTTTGAAATTACACTAAAAAATTCAAAAAATAAACATTTTTGAAATTGTTCTTGCCTGCAGTGGCCGATAACACATACAATTCTATTATGTTAACCAAAATAATATGGAGTATATTCAAGTTGTTTATGACGTAGAAATGACACATGTGAAACGCGACGTTCGAACATTTGTGTTGTAACATCTAGTCTCTGACAACAGACATATTCCATTTGATTACAATTATAAGTTAAAATAATTATTTTCACATTGATTAAGAAAATTAGTTAAATGTAATTAATTTTCTCGACTTCATGTACAATCAAAGTAAAGCTGACTATAATATCCTTAGTTATATTTGATAAATCAACTACCAACATTAAATGCTTTTGAATTAAATTAAGTGTATAATAGTAATATAAGCATTAATTAATTTAAAAATTAATAATTTTTGTTTATAATAGTGACCGAATGGAGTATGTTATTGCAATTTTTGTTCAAACTTATTCTATCCAAGATTCATTATACAAATAAGATCTATATGAAGGAAATTAATTTGAATGTTCTGGTATAACATGTGGAACAAAATGTTCCAACATGTGTGCAGTGCAACATCTGACCCTTGTCGGCGTGATTTAATCAAATTTGTTGTAAATTTTTTAGCAATGTTTGTGTCATTTGCTTGACAATTGTTGAAGATAAAATTAGATTTAAATGAAGATTTAAATTTGAATTTAAAATATAACAAATATTATCTTTTGTTGGAGAGTTTTACGGAGTAAAATCAAATCTAACGAATTCAACTATTATTTCGAACGAATTTAACTCAGAGATCTAAAGTAGAAAAGCCCAAAATGCATTGCTATTTAAGGTGACTCAATTCTCATGTTTGAGACAAGTTTTGTGCGCTAGGATTAAGTTCTTTGTGCTATGATTTTTGAGTATTCTAATGCTTGTATTCCACGGTAATGATATCACTCATATCATAAGGATTGGTGTTGAATCTTATTTGTTGTACACCATACTATTGCTTTAGTAATTTGGTATAGTTGTTGGTTTGTCTTAGTTGAGTTGTAAATTCAACAATCATTGTGTTAATGGTTAAGTTGGTCACTTTAGATTAGTGATTGAGAGAAAGTTATGGTGTTTTCATATTTTGGGGAGTCCTAAATAGAAATTCACTAGGATTAGGAAGAGGCATTGAACATCATGGAATTGATGTTTTTATAAGACTAATTGTACTAATTAGAAGTAGTAAATTTCCTTTCTTAGATAGAGTGTCCTCCAGACGTAGGTGTGGTTTCACCGAACTGGGTTACAAATATTGTGTTCTTTATTGCTTTCTGCACCATGTTATTGTTGTTGTTATTTTACTGTCATACTAGTTTAATAAGTGGACTAGTTGTCCCAACATCGTGTCCAACATTTGTCTCCTTGGGAACAAAATTCCAATTGCATCAGAGCAGACACCTTGTTTTGTTTGGGTGAGCTTCGGGAAAGATATTTTATGTTTAAATGGACAACACTAAGGATGGAGGTTCAGTCAACATGCTCCATGTGTTGGATGACACAAATTATGATTATTATAAAGCCAATATGGTTATTTTTCTCAAATTCATTGACAACAAAACTGTGAAGGTTGTAGTTAAAGATTGAAAACATCATGTGATCACTTTCCAAGATGGTTCAACAAGCTTAAAGCTTGAAGCTGATTAGTTTAAAATTAAAGATGAGGAAGCTCTTGGAAATAACAAAACCTGGAATTCTATATTCAATGGTGTGGACAATAACATGTTCAGACTAATCTACACTTGTACTGAAGCTAAAGAAGCTTAGGAGTTTCTCAAGACTGCTTATGAAGGCACATCTAAAATTAGGATGTCAAGACTGCAACTCCTCACAACTGAGTTTGAAAATCTGAGAATAATGGAAGATAAATCTATATCAGATTTCAACATTAGACTACGTGATATAGCCAATAATTCTTTTGCTTTAGAAGAAAAGATGTTAGAAAAAAAGTTGGTTAGAAAGATACTCAGATCCTTGCCTCAGATGTTTGACATGAAGATAAAAACCATTGAATAAGCTCAAGACTTAAGCACCTTGAAGATTATATAAATGGGAGATCAGAAAAGAAGAACAAAGGTGTAACTTTTGTATCCAATGCCCAAGAGAAGGAAGATCAAAGTGATATGGATACTGAAGAAAGTCTATCAGATGTTATAGCTTATCTGGAAAGAAATTTCAACAAATCATTGAAAAGACTGGATATACAATGCCAAACAAATGCACAAGGCAAATGGTCAAACATTTATCCCTAGCACCTAAGCAAAGAGGAAGACTATACTTAAGGAAAAAGACCAAAATGTTTTGAATGTGAAGGTTTTGGTCACAACAAGGTTAAATGCCCTACTTTTTTAAAGAAACATAAAAAAGGATTGACCACCACTTGGTTTGATTCTGATGATGA